GGGGGCCTGAGGGGGTGGGAGAGGGTCTTGCCCACACTGCGCATGGGCTGGGACTGGTCCTGCCAGTGCAGGTTAGCAGGAAGCTCTACACACACTCACCTGACCTGGGCCAAGGTAAACATTTGTTTGATCTTTGGTCTAGGTCTGGCCCACAGTGGGAGCATCCATCCCTCTTACAATGGTAAGGTATCTTGTCTTCCCTGTTATCTTCTTTGAGGGCCTAGCTCCGTCTGACTGCCTATACTATATCTAACTGAGCTGCATACAATATTGGGAAACCAAATTATGTTGTGTGCTGATAACCTCTAAGGGTCAAGCTCTAAGTCTTTTTTTTTTTCTTTCTTCAATTTATTTGTTTGTTTGTTTATATATTTGGTACAGGATCTTGCTAAGCAGTTTGGACTCGTAGTGATCTTTTTGCTGCAGCCTCCCTAATGCTAGGATTACAGGCCTGCACCACCACACCAGTTTTTGGAGCCAGTATAGGACACATTTCTGGCATGCAGTACCTGGGATTGAACCAGGGTCTTTGTGCTTGCCAGGCAGGTGCTTAGACTGCTGAGCTACCTTCCCAGCCTATCAAGCTCTAAGTCTTGTGTTACCACAGCAGTACACGGTCCTTTCCCTCACATAGCTTTTTTTTTTTTTTTTTTTTTTTTTTTTTTTTTTTTTTTTTTAACATTTACGTTTCCAAAGACCTGGTCAGCCAGGTGTGTTATCACATGTCTTATTATTCCGTACTCTGGGTGACTGAGACAGGAAGAGCACAAGTTTCAGCCATCCTGGGCAACTTAGCGATTGAGTAAGACTCTCTCTCTCTCTAAAATTTGAAAAGGGCTGGGGACTTAGCTCACTGTGAAGGCCCTGAATTCAATCCCAGGTACCACAGAAAGGGGAGGGAAGGGAGCTGATAAGTCTGACCAGGCCCTGTAGCCACACGTAAATACACTTCAAGCAAAATAAGGACAGGAAATAAAAATGGAGATGTACTTTTGACACACAGGCACCCAAGGAAATAGCTGCTGCCCTTTTTTGCAGCTATAGGCAGGGAGAGTGGCCACTAAGAGCAAATAATTAAGGACTGTGTTTAGTCTTCACCCCTGGTTTTTAAAGAAAGGGACAAAGATAATCATATATCTAAACTATGGTTTGGCATGAGTATTGTTTATGTCACAATCAAAATTTCTAAATTTAGATTTATTTTATTTTATTTTTTCACTGTCTCTAAACTACTTAGATATATATAAAAGATTTTTTTAATAAATAGCTATTTTTGAGGGCAGTCAGATAGGACTAGGCCCTTCAGGACAATATGGAGGACAAGGTGACTTTGCAACTTTGGAAGAGATAGACACTCTCTCTTTGGGCCACACTTCAAGATGAAAGTAAACAAACGCAGCCATATTCTTCCCTAGGGATGGGCATCAGGAACTGATCTTCTAAATAGGTATCAATCACCTCTTAAAAGCCCAAATGAGTCACTAACCCAACCCCAACAGGAAGAGACCCTGTCCAGTATTTTTGCCTGCTTGTTAAGTGATTGGCTTTCTCATTTGGTGCTGGATTTAATCAATTTTACCTGAGCAATGGTGCTTGTAATCTCATTGGTTGACCATAGTTTTGTCCCACCTCATGCCCACCTAAGGGAGTCCCCATGTTCTCCCCCACCTTAGTCCTGCCTCACAACATGGTTTTACTCTATAAAAAATCCCTGGAAGAGACAGTTTCCTGCCTGGGAAAACCTGCTCAGGTCCCCCTTCTGTCTTAGACAGGAGCTTTCTTTCTCCCAATAAATACATTCTGCTCTTTTAAAAAGCCATATTTTTAAGCAGTTTTTGTAGAAAAAAGCCTTATTAATTTATCAATTTAATTAAAATACATTTCCTCTACCAATAGCCATATCCATAGTTCTTTTAGAAACACATCACTAGAGACCCTACATTTTATTTTTCACCCCAATTTCTTTCTTGACGTAACTTTTTTTTTTTTTTTTGGTACTGGCAATCAAACTCATGACCTTTCAATTGCCAGCCAGGCACTGCACTATGGAGCTACAACCCCTGCCCTGACATAACTTTTACATGCCTCAAACTTCCTGGAAATCAGGGGATGAATCTTGCTGTAGCACATTGTCCCTGAGTAATTTTGTCAAATTGAAAACAATTTCTTGGGGGAACACTTATGAGTTTTATTTTATTGGAAATATTTATCCCTATTCAAAGGTAGAGTTACCAGTATAGTGGTTTTTGATCTCATTCTTTCTTGATTTCATTTTTTTTCTTTTTTGCATATATTATATATGAAGTATCATATATTACTTGTATAATTATATAAGTATAAATATACTGTAAGTATATATATTAAGTGTAATATATTGAGCATAAGTTTATCATACATACTAAGTATATATATTAAATAAGTAATATATACATAGTAATATATAAATTTTTGACTTGAGAAGAATGGCCTTGTCCCATCTTCCCGGACTGCATATTCTCTTTCATGGCAGATAAGGAAAAGCCAATTGATTTCCAAGTTTATTCTTCTGTTATAATCCTTTACCTCAGGTGGCAACAGATACATGAAACTCTCTCTCTCTCTTTTTTTTTTTAGAGCCATAACTTCGCTTTATTTGTATTTCCTCTTACGCGAAAACCATCAAAACAAGAACAGAGAGGGCAGGGAAAGAGCTGAAGAGCTGTTCAACCACACGTTCTCAGGGCCACTCCACAAAGTCCTTAAGGCTGAGTGCCTGGTGATGCAGCTTCACACCCACTGCTGCTAATTCCGTACACCCTGGCCCACGACCTCTGTACAGTGCTGGTGGGAGGCCTGCAATTCTTATCCTTTGCCCATCTTGATGAAGGTAGGAAAGCAGACTGAAACACTCCTCTTGGACTGGCAAGGGGATTCACAGATGTACCGCACCCCTAGGTGCACTGCACCTTTTGTGCTGTCCAGGCAGAGCCCACAGCTGCTTCCAAGGCTCTAGATGCTTGCACCCAGGCCTAGAGGCCAGTGGTATAGGAGCGGCCGGTGGAGTTGTGGATCGCAGAACAGACCGGAGCTGTCACGGCCCACTCCTACCACACCTTCTTGGAACTGCTACATCGCCAGAAATGCACACAGATGGTCTGGCCTTCATGCACCGTAATGGGCTGCTTAATAGGAAAGAGGATGGGAAACCATGAGAACATCCCAGGAGAGTGAGTCTCTGGACGGATACTCAGAGTGATGTCCTGATAAAGCACAGTCTCGAAGTAGCCTGCAAAGCCATGCAGCACCGTGTTCACCTCCACAGGAAACTCCAAGGTGCAGTAGCGGTTGTTGTCAACCAGAGGATCTCTGTTGGGGTGGCTGAAGGTGAAACAGGGTTGGGGTGCAGAGAGCTGGTGGAAGTTGTGCAGCCGTACCACATAAGGCATCTCAAACTGGGCCTCAGGGTCACGGTCCTTTTCCCGACAGGCTCGGACCTCGTTGTACAGCTTGGAGGAGGAGATGGGAGCCAGGAAGGACGTGTACTCCCCGGGGATGCTCACACCGTCATCTTTCAGGAAGTGCTGTGCTCCGTCCAGACATTCAGGCGACAGCTCATTGTCAGCAAAGGAGCCCAGAAGCTCGCTGACAATTATGTCTGCTTTCTCTGGAGCCACCCATTCTCTCATGTCTGATGAGACTACTGTCGCCTGGCTTCCCCATTCTTCAAACTGCCAGTTCTCTAGCGTCACCACAGCATTCGGGTTCTTCTCCACGGCATACAGCTTTATCCGCCAGTCAGCCTGTTTAGCAGCCCGCAGGGAAGCATTCACAAGGGGACCCCAGCCTGCTCCCAGCACCATCAGCACCTGGACGTTAATATCCTTCTCTTCTTCTGGTACTCGGTCTAGCAGACATTTATAGATGGCCTGCTGGTACTGAGAGTATTTGATGGGGTCCTTTTCAAACACTTCATATGTCTGAGATTCTAGATTGTCCATCAGCGGCTGGAGGGGGGACTGCAAATAGTCCTGGTAGCCCTTGGCAAAGAGCTCATAGGCATTGGGTGGAGGGCAGTTCTGGCTTAAGTATTCCAAATACTGGAGGTAGGAGCAGAATTCCTTCTCTGAGTGGTGGTTGGTTCCTGTGATGATGAACTGCACCTCCAACTTGAGGAGCCGGAAGATCAGCCTCTGGTGCATCT